TTCTTCAGTTTCTGAAATTTTTCATTTCTAATTCTTAAGTTTCCGAAAGTTTTCATTTCTAATTCCTAAGTTTCTGAAATTTTTTATTTCTAATTTTCTAAAACTTTCAACTTCTAATTCTCCGAAATTTTTCATTTCCAATTCTTAATTTTCCAAAATTTTCAATTTCCAATTTTCCGAAATTTTTCACTTCTAATTCTTAATTGTCCAAAACTTTCAATTTCCAATTTTCCGAAATTTTTCATTTCTAATCCTTAATTTTCCAAAACTTTCAATTTCCAATTTTCCGAAATTGTCAAGTTCCAATTCTTAATTTTCCAAAATTTTCAATTTTGAAAATTTACCATCGCTCTTTTCAAAAAATAACCCCAATTGCTGTGATAAAATTCGTCACAAAGTTCGTAAAACAGAAAACATAATCGTGCCTCATTCTCACTCTGTACGTCAGCGTCGAGTCATCAGCAGTCGCTTTGCATCCACCACCGTCACAAGCGCACCGCAGTGACAGGGTTAACAGTGTTTCTAGAAACTTCTATTTCCATCTCGTTCATAAAAATCACGCTGCTTTAAAATTTGTTTTTTCATAAATAGCCTGTTCGTAAAGAAATTTTGATCGTTCAAATTGCAATGTGACAATATCTAACCAATGGCTGCCAGCCTCTCAGGTACGAGAGGCACATCGTGTTGCCCAAACTACTGGCGCAACACGCCGAGGACTACGAAATAGGGAACACGATGTACAATCAGGACCCTCACAAGGCTGGTACAGCACGTCGTTATCTCTGCTCTATTCTGAAGGAACACGTGAACTGCTACAGCATCGAGGTATCGATGTACGGTTACAACAGGAAAGCGACTCCTGGAATATTCCCTTACACCGAGGAAGCTTGTATCCTTTGAACATCTACCACCGTTCTCCGCGAACAAATTCTTCTCCATTTCTGATACTTTCAAATCGAGTCTATCTTTAGAATTTGCAACAAGATCGAACCGTAACGTCGAGTTCTATCAATCTGAGGGATTCACTTAGAAGTAGGTAACGAACTAACTTTAGATTGCCACAATCTTGGCAGACGTTAATTAATCATTCGGAAGACAAGCTGTCTTAAGAACATTCCAAGCGAAGCCACCGTTGATCTACCCCGCTTACTTTGTACCTCGTGCGGTGTTTTTCAGAGAGAATTAAGCTGCCGTTGAATAATTTATATACCTTGATCAATTCAGTGCTGATGCTTTGCTTGAAGAAAAAAAGGAGAGAAAAATCTGTCCACTCTATCACGTGACGTTTAACGTAGGCCTATAGAAACAACTAGTCGAGGATCTTGACTATCCAATTAAAAATCACAGATTACAGATTAGGTCGCAATCTGGCCCGTGTGTTTATGGAATATTACAAGTTGATGGGTGTCATCCCGGCTGGCCTTCCTGATCAACCATCTAGCAAACGGACGCGACAATCTCGACCGAGATATCGCGTTCTAAGAGATCCTAGGCCGAAAAACTCGAGGAAACCCGCGCCTATACATCTAGCCAGCATTCACGAGTAATCTTGATTCCACTTTTTAACCCTTTGCACCGCGATCGAAAATTTCGGAGAACTTTAAAATGGCAAAATTCATATTTTACCGATATTCTCTTTTTACGAAATTCAAAGATTATTCCTACAGGCGCGATACGATTTTATTTACATTCGTACTCTTCTTTTCGAAAGAAAATTTTTGCTTTTCAAACATTTCACAAACTTTTGCTTTCGGAAATGTTCAAAAAGTGAAGTATCGATAATAGTAAAACTCTTGGATAAAACTGAACCATTACGCGTGTAAGAAACATCGACGCAGTGACTTTCCGTTAGATTCGAGGAATCCCGACGGAGGTCCAGAACGTGTTAAATTGACATAGGCCGACGATCGGCAGGTACTTCCAAGAGGAGGCAGAGGTGGCCGCGAGCGGTGGTTGCCGATCGATGAGCGGCACGCGGATGAGCCAGCTTGGGACCGGAACTGGAAGTGGAACGGGCGTCGGCGGGTGCAGGAACCGGAGCTACAGGTTCCGGAGCCCCGGGGCACCGCTCGACAGGGTGCAGGCCCTGTCCAGACAACCCGCCGAGCCGAGGCTCACCATTATCGATTTCAATCAGCTGACAAGGGGCGGTTTGGAACTGGCTACCAGTAAGAACAGGGCAAAGGTCGCTCGAAAAGCCGGCAAGTCGCGCAGATAACCATCCTCGCGACACTTCAACGCGCGTTACCTTCTTTATGAAATTATCGACAAGGTGAAAGAAATTTCCTTAAAACAAACTTTCCACTCAATAATTCAATTTCTTACTCCTTTTTTCTTCTTTTTTAGCGACTCGTGGATTCGAAGAGGTGTTTCGAAAAATATTTACAACGTGACCGATCGATGCGTATATTCGAAAAGGATAAGAGATGTAACGCAACCGTGCGTAATACGAGAACTGCGTGTCAATTTTCGTAGGAAAGTTTCGTTTACAGGATTGTGCGTGGGTTAACAACGATCGACCAGGTATACGCTTCAAAATTGATGCATCATGTGGTTACACCAAGAGCCGGCTAATGCCAACGTCGCGAGTCACTGATTCGAACGCGCCGTATCGAATCATAAAGGGTTGATTTATAGGGTTGTTACAATCTTCCGTTCGCATGCACGCGCCGCACAACTCTTTTACTGTACGTACTTCCCGGAATGTGTACGATTTAAACGCCAAAACGATCTCTAACAAACACATGTTCGCGTATTCCCCCCTGATTTAACGACTGTGTAAATACCGGCAGACTCGTACTTTTACGACGATATCGACGAGATGTACGAACAAAATAGACACGTAAATTTGCTACAAAATAGAAAGGAATAAAAAGTGCATGCATAATCTGACAAAGAGATGGTCTTACATTTAATTAAATGGTAACGAGACCCTCGAACGAGACTCAAATAAAGGTTAATTTACGTTGCCATAAAAAATTCCGCTAAAATCGGATGAAACGGTAATCTCGTCCAAGGGTTTATTTCCACAGCCACCCCCGTTTCGATGATTATCATCGAAAGAGGGGCTTCGTGGAACACGATCTCGAAACGAGTAAAATATTGCGGAAGCCACAGGCTTCCACGGACCACACAATAGTAAACATGTGATTCACGTACCTGAATGCGAGAATTACGTTTCCTAAAACTCAAGCAACCCGCGGGCTTGTTGCACGCGCATCGGATGGACAGAAGAAGACGCAGGTACTCTACGCGGCCTGGTACACCTGGCCAGTATACGGACCTAAAGATACGCTAGCTGATCGCGGGTGTGTCCGTGCATCGGAACATACAACAAACGGGAGAGCCGATGCAACTTGTTTATCGAACGTGCTACTCCGTCGATCACACAACGAACCAATCTCAACCGTTTAATTTTTTATATCGCGTACGTATATGCTCTTTCTTTTCCTTTCCTTTTCTTTTCGTTTTTCTTTCTTTCTTTCTTTCTTTCTTTCTTTCTTGTCAAAAAACGTATTTCGAATTTAAAACGACGTCCAGTATACGCGCTCGCACACGCTCTTCTACGCGTACATGTATACGTGTCTCTCTATGTGCCTGTTATACGTGTACGAGTGTGTGTTGACGGGAGTAACCGTGATCACGTACGTGTACGTATACGCGAAGCACGCATATACCACCGTGTACGTGTGCGTGTGCGTGTGCTTGTGTGTGGCTGTGTAACGTGTCGCGCCCGACCTTTCTTTCTTTTCTTTTTATATATTGTTATACATGTACTATGTGTATGTATATTATTGTATGTATGTGTACAACGTGTCAATCAATCGGAACTGAAGAATGAACTAAAACGGAAAGAAATGAAACTATAGCGAAAGAAGGGAGCAGACAAGCGGCCAGAAGCTCTTCTACTCCTGGACTCGAGACGGAACTGGCCCGTGGGCCGTTCCGCTCAACACCACCTCGGCTATTCCCCCTCCACACCGTCCCTTTGCCAGCCACCCCCCTCCCACCGACGCCCCCCTGCAAGCACCGTACCTTCGTTTCATCCCTCGCCATCCCCTCGTCTAGTATCCAGCGCGACCACCGAGCCGCCCGGTACTTCGGGGTTGGATGATACTAGGGCGGTGGTCGTTGAACCAAGTATATAGACGAGCTGTCTGCGTCGTACCGGTTGCGCACAGAAGCTTTACTTCCATCTCCATCTATAGGCTCTATTTCGCTTTCTCCCGCTACTACCCTCTGTCGCACCCCCTTCTCGCAATTTGCATTTCTTCATCTCTCCCCCGAACATCCCCTTTCCTCTCTCACTCCATTATTTTCCTCTCTTTCTCTTCCGTTTCTCTTGTTATTTCAAAACCCCTTTCCAAACCCCCTGTCTCTCTGTCTCCTTTCTTCTCCGTTTGTTATCTTTCCCAACCCTTCACTCCCCCCACCATGACTCGCCGTCCTTTATCTTTTCTTCTACTATTTCTCTCTTTCGTTCCTCCCGCGTTGTTTTCAATCTCATTTCCTAGCATCTTCTCCTTTCGCCCCTCTCTCTCTTTCTTCGCTTACTGCAACTAATCGGTTGTCTCTGTTCTGCAGACTTTCCCTCCTTCTCGCTTTTTTACTCGCACGTTTTCTCGTCTTCCATTCGCGTCCCGTTTGCCTCTCACACGCTTCTCTCTCACGAGTGCACGCTACGAGAGGTTGCTTCTCTCTTCGTCCAACGTGCTCCATCTATCTCCCTCGCTCTTCAGAATGAACGCGTCCCCAGGTAAAGCTAGCGACCTCTACAGTGGCGAGCAAACACGACAGGCTGCAACGCGGCTGCCTACACCGCCACGCCGTACACACAAGCGATGGAGTAACCCCGGGATTCGTATGTGGGGTCAGGACAACCCCGTGCAAACAGAGCCATGCTTCTTGATTTACTATCGGTCGCACGGTGTTATCGCATCTCTGATAAGCCGTTTACGACGGCCTCCCGCGAACCGTGACGAAATTGAAAAGCCACCCTGACTTTCAATGAAAACACCTGAGCGATCGTTACCCTATCAGACGCGTTGCTGCCCTTTGCGTATTATTTTTTATTTCCCTTTCACAGGTTTAGTTTTTCAATCGATAAGTATACTCTGTACCAAGTGTACCGATTAGAATATCGACAAATTCAAAGATCCTAATAATATATACGATTACAATGTCTGCTAGTTTTATCCGTAGACAATGAAAAAAATGATCGCTAGATTTTTCTATTTGCTTTTCCTATTATAAACGATGAAAAATGGAATTTTTATACTAATTTAGCGATGCTGAGCATAGCTGCAGCGGTTAGCTGAATTTATGGGATGCAAAAGGGTCGAGGTACCCTTTATCCGGCACTGATGCGCACAACCAGACCACCGACAACCACCAACGAGACCGAGGAAAACCGAATTTCGACGAAATCACACGATTCGAATAGGTACGATGTGGGCGGAGACCGACCCCAATTGCTCAGGCTTAACCCCTTTCACAGACACTTGTTATATGCCGCACGTTGTACGAAAATTCTACCTATACGTAGAAAAATTATTTACTATGAAAATGTTCACCTTCATATTTCGAATAAATTGTACGAATCTAACTGACGCATGTTCCATATGTGGAAATGTTAATCTACGCAACCTATTTAACATACGCTTCGTATAACGATGAGTAGAAGGAATTGGAACTTGTCATCGCAAAAATGAATCGATTCATTGTGGATCCTTCTTTTTGTTTTTCGAACGATCAAGGATAACGTCACTATCGATGAATTTTTATTCAAAATACTGTCGTTTCAATGACAAAAAGCTGATTTTTTTTTTTATTAGAAGAGGAAACAATTTATGCTTAAATTTCGTTTACTTTATGACAAATATATTAAATGTATTTTATTTATTTAGTTTACGTACTTACCGAACACAAATACGTGACGCATATCCTTGTGAATAAAATCGTCTCTAATTCTATAGTGGACAGGTTGACAACTTCGACACTTTTTCACTTTTTCTTTGATTGTCTGTAACAATAATAAACTTTAATTATTTACATTGATCCTGAAGTTTTTTAATGTACATTTTGAGGTTATATTTTAAAGGGTTATCTGCGCTACGTACTCTGCATAACGATTATTCGTTACAATCTTTAATATTTGTACTTAAATTAAAGAAACATTTTATACACACCTTTCTACGTCTATCCAATAAAGACGATTGTCAAAAATTCTGAAGCACAATTGTATTTTAACATAATGACACATTATCGACGATGTATTTTACGCGATCATTAATTTTAATAGTAAAATTTAACGAATTAAAAAATTAAAACTTTTTCTAAGAATTCAGCAATACTCAACGTACATATGTAAGAAACTAATTTCTATAAAATATAATACGTCATTATAACAATGAACAGAACAAACGATCGAACTTTAAATTAACTGTCCACGCTGGGAAAAAAAGAACAAAGGCAACAATGAACACTGTTACTTCGTCGATATATTTTTCACTAAACATTTGTTCATCGTCAAAAATAATAATCGAATTTAACACATAAAGGGAAGCTCGGATTTATTTAATCACACGCGACGACTTATTACACGCTCTAATTGTTTCAATTTCAACGTCTCAACGCGGGAAATATTAGCGTTACGACGCCATCTTGCGTTCTTTTTTTTAAAGCGTTCCCTTCCGGAAAATTTGAATTTGCATTCAATCATACACTGTTGTTGTAAAATTATAATTTCAAATATATACATTTCTGCCTTTTATGAAGCTACAGAATCTTATAGTAATACTTTTTTGCTTATGAAAAATATCCTTGTCTTTGTTTCGCTGCACAGTATTTTCATGAAAACTGCTGTAACTTTTGAACCAATTCATAGACTGAAAGCACAACTGTAATTTTAATGAACGTAATGCTTTTATAACAAACATATGCAATATAAAAGGGACAGGTTTATAAAACGAAAATTATGTGACCTGAACTTTGTTAAAATAAATATAAGAAAAATTTATCAGTTTTAAAGTTGGAATTTTATGACATCGAACAGATTAAAGCGCCATCTAGAAAATATTTCTAGATAGTACGATACGTCTTAGACCACGTAATGGGTCCGTCCTCCACACGGGACGCCATATTGTATGGGAGGAACGAGAGGCGCAACCACGCCATTGTACGCATCACGCTAATTCTCGTCAGTTTTCACGAATAACAAGTAAAGTAAGTAAAAATCATATTCATACAAATGTACTTCAACATAGAAATCATTTGATTAAAAATTTAGTGTATTCTAAAAGAATTAGCGATAGCATTGAGCAACGATTTTTAATCAACGCCACGATGTATCGTTCTCCTTTGCGGATCGTTCAATCTTTTTACATTGTATGATTTTTTATTTTATTTTAACAATTCTTCGTTATTTAATTTTTTCCTTCGTAATAATATTAATAAAATGCGTGTTCCTGCTACAACGTTTGCGGACTTTTAAATTATGTTAACGAATTTTAAAGGAAATCTGTCACGCAAATTTTAAACGTTTGAATAAATGCGTTGTTTCATCAGAAACGTACTTTTCAAACTATAGTTGTTTCCAAATAAAATTTACGAATTTATATTTGTAAATACAGATAATCAATTGTATGTAATATAATTAATTTGTGTTAATTTAATAATGTGCTTATCTCACTGTTGTAACTTAATTTTAAATGCTTATTGGCAGCCATTTCTAACTTAATTGGTTACTCTTAGCTTTCTAAATTGCCAAGTAATGAATTAATTAATTAAATTTGTGATGCTCTGTATTTTTGATTCAGAAAATAATTACAAATGAAATAAGTAAAGCTCTAATTGTTCCAGAAATAACTTAAATGCATGGACAACATGTACAGTAATAACATTGACCCGTGGGAGCCGGGTTATGGGCCTGAGAGGAGAGGGCATAATTCAGACTATGATTATCGCAATGATTATGGAAGCAGCAGGTCACCAGATTACGGAGAACATCGTGACAATGATCACCGTGATAGAGACCATCGTAGCCCAGAATATAGGAACCATCGTGGTCGGGATAGAGACCGTGAAAGAGACCGGTCAAGAGACAGGAGGGATAGGAGCAGAGATGATAGAGACCGTAGCTACAGAGACAGAGAAGATCGTTATGGAAGGCAAAGAGACAGAGATTCTGCAGAAAGAGACAGAGATCGTGACCGTGAGCGCGACAGAGATAGAGACCGTTCTAGGAGAGATAGAGATAGGGACAGAGATCGAGATCGTAGAGGAAAACGGGAAGAAAGAGATCGGGATCGCGATGACGATCATAGCCGAGAAAGTATGGACTTTGAGCATGACCATGGACGTACTTATGGTTCGTCCATGGAAGGCATCCACTACAAATCTCAATCTCCAAACAACACCATAATGATTCGCGGGCTTGCTCAGCATATTACAGAAAATGACGTAGGTTGTCAACTTAGTGGCCCAACATAATTGGCCACTAGTGAGCCAGCATTTGCAAGCATACATCACTGTTATCATTATGATGTGTGTATCACAGGTGCGGCAAGACATCCTCAACTGTGGTCTCATGCCCAAGGACATCAGGCTGATTCGTAAAAAGGATACAGGTAATTATCATTATTTTTGCAACTTAACTTCCCCTAAACCTAATGTGCGAATTAGTGAATCGCTTTTTACCTCAGCAGGTTGCATTAGATTTATGTAGCCTAAGTTATTGTTGCATTTTTAATGATCATTTAAAAAAGAAAAAAAAATTGTTTGACATTTCTAATAATACGAAATATATTTTTCTGTTACTTAATCAGTAATTAAAAGAGATTTCAAACAATTTTTTTTACATTGTACAAACAATTAAATTAGCATTGTATCGGTACCAATCATGCATACCCCAAAATTTTTGATGCAGAATAACGAATATAATCGTGATCAATTAAGTATAAATCATTAATTAATTTTCTACTCTTGGAATAAGGTAAGTTTGTAACAAGAATATAACTTGTTACATAGGAAGAATATTTTGAGGAAAATCAAATCATCATTATTCATCTTACAAGAGTGGTGTAAAATATATTTCTGAGAATCCCTAAATCTTACCTAGAATAATTGGAACATGAGTCTACCAACCAATTCTACATAACTGTTCTATTCTCAAAATAATATATTTGACAAACTTTATGGCTGTGTGGAGTATGAAATCTTTTTCCAATGTCATTTACAATTACCAACGAAAATATATGCAAGATAGAAATTTTTGGAAGAGTGGGGGGTGGGTTCTCTCTGAAATTTCTTGTACTATCGTTTCTTTTAATGAAAAAAAGAAAAGAGGAAGCTCAAAAGACCGGTAAGGTCTGGCATTAAAAGTAAAAACTAAAGTTCGCGTAAAGATATTTTACGAAAAGCAAAAATCATCTCTCACCCGAATAGAATTCATTCTGCTGAGCTTTAGGCAAATGGAAATGAAAGCAAGCAACGAAGCGAAGAAAGTACTTCGTTCGAAACTCAGTCTGTCAATGGTTGGTGCTGTGATTGCCTGCCCTCTCAGAGTAGAGACACCCAGGCAAAACGTGGATTAACTTTGGATATGTGTGTATTTGCTCTGTATAGGTGCTTCGCGAGGTTTTGCATTCGTCGAGTTTAACGCGACTCAGGAGGCCGCACGGTGGATGGAGATGAAACAGGTAGAAAGAAGTTCAGTCCAGATACCCAACCGATGCGTTGTACGCGTGCCACCGACGCCCCGTGGCGGCAAGGCACGGTAACGCAGCCCCTTGGCCTTCCCCATGGCCATGGCTGTGCACCTATCAAAGGCTACTTCAATCTACCGTACCTAATTATTTATCTAGGAGTCCCCACATACTTTGCAGACTTTTCTTAACTCGCTCGCAAATTCCGTCTATTGGATTACATAAAGTTCATTACACGTATATATATATACATATATATATATATTATCGA